CTGTAAGTATTCCCATTTTTATGACTAAAGTCCAAAACTCACTGCAGAAATAATCCAGTTTGAGACTACTCTAACTACCCCAACTCAGTGCTGGGATTTCTGGGAACTGTAGTGTGAAGACACACCCAACTAAAGGTGGTGGCAAATATGGGTGTGCAACACCAGTACCCTGGTAAGATCAAACTCTTTTACCCAAAAAGGCTCCAATGCTGAATGTAAAGTCCACAAGGAGGAAATTTATTTTGAATAACAAAAGAACAAGGTTTCTCCTCCCCAGCTCTAGCAGGCTTAAAATAAAAGGTACTTTGCAGTTTAGGTTTCAGCAATCTTCAGTGTTGTCATCTCTCTGGGTTTGATCTTAGTTTGGTGTCCTACTCAATGAAGCTGGTGCAGGGTCTTTCAGCTTCTGGTGCTTTTGACTTCTTTGTTGTTGATATTTAATAGAATTAACTGTTTTTGGTAACTAATCTAGCTAAATGGTAACTAAATTGGCTAATGGTAACTAAATTGGCTAAATGGTAAATAAATTGGCTAAATGTGGTAATTAAATTGGCTAACTGGTAAATAAATTGGCTAAATGGTAACTGAAAATTGGCTAAATGTGGTAACTAAATTGGCTAACTGGTGTAAGAAATGCCCTTTCTGTCTGTCTGAGCCTGTTTGCCACCAAACAGATAAAGCCAAGCCTGCCTAAGAAAAAACTAAAAATCTCAAGCTGATTTGCTGGGAAGGGGCAAACCAAAAACTAGAAAAATGCAGGGGATTCCTACAGCTCCTCCTACAAACTAATACAATGGAACATTCCTATGCTCAGACATACTAAGAATTGACTAAAAATGAAGGAAAATGCAGGGGAGAATTTAAACAGTCCAGGCTGGACATCACATGTAGTTTTGTAAGACATTTAGCCCTCTCTGTCAGAGACCTCTGGTGCCACAATAAACTAGAGTTACTAGGATTCCCTAGCACTGAGCCAGGGCAGTTAAAGCAGTTTCAAACTGGATTATTTCTGCAGTGTGTTTTGGACCTAAGACATTGTTAAAACATTCTTTTATTGATCTTGTAGCATTTTAACATATTTAATATTGTTTTTAAAACTGCCCAGTATGTTTTATTAATGCATATCTCTGAGCATTTCAGAGGAAAAGTGGTTCTTAATAACACGTCAACAAAAAGTAGGATCTTAAAGACTAAAGAGTAATGATTTTATTGTATATTAAAAACATTCATAGATTTCATTAAAAGATACTGCATTTGATTTTTAGGAATGAAATCCTAAAATATGCAAAAATTATTTTCAAACCATTTGGAATTCTAGGGTCAATTATACCTTTGTGAAGTGGCAAAAAACACTCTGAATATTCTTTATCAATTGATAACTATCCTGTGAAATACATGGGGTCTTTATAAATTAACAGGTGGAACACATGCACACAAACAAAAACTGCTGCCTGCAGTTAACTGTTTCATCTCTGTAATAAAAAATGCATAAGTAAAGATGAAATTAGCAGCTCCTAAAGACTGTAGCTTCCAGCCTGTTTCTCCCTCTTCCTGATCTGATATTTCCTATATGTGTTCTGATGTTGTGACAGAACACATTTGCTCTTTATTCTCTAGTAATAACAGTGCAGTGCTGGACACAGACAGATTGTTCCAAAACCTGGTGGCCATTTTGATTGACTTTATGTATGTCATCATAGAATCTTAGAGCTGAAGCACAGCTCAGAGACCACAAAGGCAATCTAGTCCAACTTCCTTCCATGCAGGAATTCACAGCTTAAAGCATTCCTGAAAGATGCTGTGATGGCTTGCCAACTACCTCAGCAACTCTCACCTATTTTGTAATGGGATGCCAATGTCTCACTCCCCAAATCTCTTAAACCGTTTTACACTGTGTGCCACCATGACACAAATTAGGTAGAGACCACTACTACTATCTCTCTAGCTGACATTAAATATGTATGGAGACCCTTGTACTCGGATCTCTCATAAATGACTCCCACACTAGAACTCTCTTCAGCTGCCAGCACTCTAGGGCAGGGGTAGGCAACCTAAGGCCCAGGGGCCGGATGCGGCCCCCCCAAGGCCTTTGGACTGGCCCCAGGCTGGTCCTGCCGCCCCCCCCCGCCGCCCACCATAATGATATTGATTATCGTTGTTATTACTTGTTCTTGGGGTTTTCTTGGCAAAATCTCCACAGGGGTTTTGCCATGGCTTTTCTGGGGCTGAGAGAATGTGCATGCATATTTTCTTACATTTTTTTAAAAAAAATATTTTTATATTTATTTATTTATTTATTTATTTATTTATTTTTGGTGCTTCGGCCCCCCAATTGTCTGAGGGACAGCAACCCAGCTCAAAAAGGTTGCCTACCTCTGCTCTAGGGGTTTAAAATTCCAACAGCCTGACACCAATTGTCAGTTGATAACTACACACCCACTATCTTGAGTGTCCTAAAAAATAAAAGGTCTTTCCCCTTTTTTGTAGCATTTTAGTTATGTTTGGTAGTGTGAATGATATTATCTGTAAGCACACTTGAGGGAACTACTGTTTGCATATTGGGAGGGTTTGTGGATTTTGGATTGTATTTTAACATTGTATGGAGTTTTAATGCTGTGAGCCGCCTTGATTGTTTGACAGAGAGGCGGGATACAAATAAAATTTATTATTATTATTACTATTAGTACTTGTTGAAACAAACACATTTTATTCACAAGCACAGTTGAATACAGTATCTTTCTTGTAGGATGTTATTCAAGCTTGATACAGTATATAAATGGCTTCAGTAGTTACAAAGTTTAACGATTTCTTTCACTTGACTTTATAAACATTCCTTATAGTTTTTTGTGGGTTTTTCAGGCTGTGAGGCCGTGTTCTAGAAGAATTTGTTCCTGACGTTTTGCCTGCATCTGTGGCTGGCATCTTCAGAGAATAGTGGGATGGAGGTGTATATACTGTGTAACCCTGATTGTAGTGATTTACATGCTAATATGTGGTTTGTTCTGTTGTTGAATGGCAAGGCCTCAGGGTGGGAGGATATGCAAGGAGTATTAGTGTCTCCCACCTCTCACCCTGAAGACTTGCTATTGAACATCACAACAAAGCACAGATTAACATGTAAATCACTCTTTTGAAATGTTGCATGTAAAAAAAATAATGCATATATAAGATTGCTTTTCAATAGTTTATTTTGTTTTTGTTTTTTTCCTGAAGGAGTCATTCCAGAAAATCTTATTTGACATATGTAGGCAAGCATCTGAAACAAATAATATTTACAAAAAACATAGGATACTTATGGTATACCACTTTTTTGTAAATTTATTGCTGAAAGAAATAAAAGGTGGTCTAGGAGGAGCATGGGCTTTTGTACTTCGGGATGTAATTTATACTATGATTCATCACATCAGTAACAGGTAAATATGAATATTATATGCTATTATTTATACACATGCTTAATTTATGTTTATGTATAGTGTTTATGACGCTGCTTTAGTCTACCTGTCCATCTAGTCTAGAGCTTTGTGCTCTTACCAGCTGGGAAGGGGGAAGTTCTAACTTAATGCTAAACCACAATTTAATATCTTGAGTGCTGACATCTGGAATCTCAATAAAAAACTTTGGCTTGCATGTTTCCTCTCCCTCCTGCATTACCAAGATGACTCTTCTTGCTAAATTTAATTTCTGTATCCCTGTTTCAGATTTGTGATTGCATACAAATCAAGATCCATAGCTTAAAATAATCAAAATCAAAAGAGCAAAATAATCCAAAGTTTGTTATTGTCTTATTTTTCTATTAACAAGAGTTCATTTTACAAGTCAGTTTTTCGTTCTTATTGAAACGGATGTTGTTCCCCATCTCTTTATTCTCAGGGATTGAGGTTTGGGGTTTTGTTTTGTTTTTACCATTTATCAGGAATGATTGTTAACTAGCCTGTTCATGGCCACTGACTATGCAAACAGTTTAACTGTTTTAACTGCTTTTTTTATCCTTTTTGGTTGTAGGTTTTAAATTGCTTTAATATTGTGAATAGTTTTTGTTTTAATGTCAACTTTTATATGTTGTTAGCTGTATTGTACTTGTTTTCAACTGTAAGCTGTCTTGAGTCCCAGTTTTGTGAAAATGGCAGGTTAGAAATAAATATCACTCACATAGGTGTAAGAGGCCTTTTGTACATGTAATGGTAAATTATCCAGTAATTATCCAGTCAAATCGGATTATTTCTGCAGTGCGGATGAAGTCTCAGTTAGTTGACTAAGGACTACAGTTGCCCCTCCAAGTCCACAGACTTGAAATCCGCAGAGGGGTGACCGCCATTAGCATGAATGGGGCGCACGCTAACGGGAGCATGCACCATTCAAGCCAATGGGGCTTGAATATACGCAACCCTCATAACTCACTGGAGGGGTCTGGATTGATCCCCGCGAGTTACGAGGGATGACTGTATTGTAGCAGAGAAACATATGCCTCCCTCCCATTTTTTTCTCTCTTGGTTAAATTCTTCCTTTGTTTATCTCCTTGTTGATAGCATGGATACACATCCAAACAATGTTTCTTCTTTAGAACAAACAAGTCTAATGTCTTGATCAGTACAAATACCGTATTTTCTGGTGTATAAGACAACTGGGAGTATAAGATGACCCCCAACTTTTCCAGTT